ATTATATTCCCTCTAATGTTTGCCGTTTATCTCTTCGCGCTTTTTATCTCCATCACTTTCTAGCCCACCTTTTTCTCTCATCATATCATACGAAACGACAGCAATTTCAATATACTACAGCTATAACAACGAAATATTACTATTATTTTCTTCATTAAATTTGCATACTGTATCATACGATCTTTCGTACATTGCATGTCATTTAGTTTCGCATCTTGTAACAATATCGGATCCGGAAACTCGTAAACTTAGGATACAACATTATTTGGAAGTTTATGCTTACTAAATAGATGAATGGAAACGTCGAAACTTAATTAACTCAAATAATTCGAGTTTACCTCGCGTTTCAGAAGCCCGGATCACGGTGCTGGTACCAAAGTTGGAGCTGGATAATGAACAGACGACATCGTTGTCTCTGTTGAAACTCGAAGAGGCCACAGCGATCGATCAGATTCTTCAGTCTCAGGAACACACCTGAAATTCGTATGCGAACGCCGACGGCGAGATCTGATTCTCGCTTCTGGTTGCGAATTTCCCTTACCCCCGGTGCGATCCACGACACTACTGAATAATCTATCCTCGTGGGAGACACGTCCATGTACAATGTTGATTCATGGGGCATCAACGGTTGAAAGTCGTCGCGTCTCTCATAAAGCGATGACCGGTTCGATCGATTGGCGACTTTTCTCCGCGAATTGGTTCCCATTAATAGAATCTGCTGCGTCGGCCACTCGGCGATTGTTCGATCTACTAGTAACGCGTTTACCGAACACTTAAGAACACTATCATCGGCTTGAGTAAAACCAAAGAGGAAAAAATTGTCATCGACCTGCGGTTCCCGCTCGTAGAAATTCTGTAGATCGACGTGTTAATAACACGTAAGGGTAAATTGCAACGCCTAGCTACTTCAATTACCGCGAGAACTGAGGCGCGTGGGAGAACGGAAACGGAGGCAATCGAGAGTGAACGTAACAATAAGCGTTCCAGGATCGATATTGGCACCGTTCCTTGACGTTATTATTATCGTTGTGGTAACGGGTTTCGAATTTCCCCATAGAAGATGAACGCTTCGCCGGTTCATCTAACCGTTCTGCGAAACGATCAGCCGATCCGGCCACGAAAATTATTGTAAAATGTATATTAAACGAGTATCTCTTCGCGCTGTCACGGGCATAAAAACGTATTGTAACAAGTGCAGGAATGACCAATTATATTTTTGTATCGTCTTTTTCAAACGAATCTGCATTTCCGAGCAGAACGCTCTCTAGTTTACAACACGATTTTTTGAAGCATGGTCCATTTTCATATTAATTCGATTACTCACGAAATTTGAATAATATTCGTATCTTGATTTTTATATTAAATACAAACAAAATAACGCAGATCATAAATTAATTACCAGAATACATAAATTAATTATAATACATACATAAATTAATTACCTACCAGACTGCTCGCGCCCTTTTTGTACATATTACTGTTACAGTACCTGTTTGTATAGATAACAAAGAAGAAACTTCTAAGAGGCTGTTCAAACATTTTCAATAAATAATTTATGTGGTTTTCTACTTAATTATATTAAACCCCATTTGTCCTTGCAATAAATCCAGCCGCTCGATTTATCATTTCTTTATCCTACCCACCGAACTATCTGAAATCTGCAAAAATTGTCCTTTCGTCTCCGGTAAGTAAAACACCAGGAAGAAGATACTGAACACGTTGAAACCGGAAAACAGCCAAAACCCGATGTGTATGCTGTTCGCAAACACGACGGTGCTCCAGATACGTAATATGATAAAGGACCAAATGAAATTTACGCAGAAACCGAGTCCCACGCAAGCTGCTTTCGCATACATCGGGAAGATTTCGTTCATAACGACGAACGGCACGCTAGCCAGTCCCAAAGAAACGCTTATTACATAAAGTAATGCTACTCCGAATGCAAATGGTTGGAAACCCGAAGTATCCAAGTTCTTTTGTTCCAGGAAGAAATAAATTCCTAATAGAAAACTGCAACTTGCAACGCCCACGGTCGACACGATTATCAGAGGCTTTCTTCCCAAACGATCTACCAAACTGATACAAAGGAGGTATGACATTAGAAATACTATCGGTAAAACAATGCTTATGTAGGTTCCCGGCAGTTGGACGTTGTCAATCTTCTCAAAAATTGTTCGCGAGTACGTAATGAGGATAATCGTGCCCGAGAACACTTGCAACGTCATTAAATTGGCACCGATCAAGATAACTCTTTTGCCACCTGAAACATCAAGCTGTTGAATATATAATAGAAAAAGAGAACGGATTGATTGGATTTGGAAAAAATTTCACCTTTTTCAGAAGCCAAGTGAAAAATGGAAGATATTGTTCCATTGTACTGAGAATCAGATTCGACTGATTTCATAATCGAATCGAGTTCCTCCGCAACGTCGGCCGAGTTACGCATGTACATCAAAGAATCCATGCCTGCACCAAATCGTTTCCGGCGTAGCAAGTAGAAAGGACTCTCCGGCATCCAGGCGAATACGATGAATTGCAACATCACCAGAAACATTCCCACGTAAGAGTATTTCTCAATAGTACCAATTGAGGTGAGTACATAACCGAGGAAGGAACCGCAGTAATTCATTAGCAGGAAACAACTGCACAGAGCACTCCGAATGTGTGGAGGCGAAATCTCTGTCACGTAGATCGATCCGCTCGTGAAAATTATGCCACTGGCAGTGCCGCCTATAAAACGGGACACGTAGAGATTCTGGAAACAAACGCAGCTGCTGATGGCCGAGATTCTCTTCGTTTCTTTAATCCCTTACTCATTTCCCTTAATTGATGAATAAACGTTACGAATGAATATGAAATTGACTCGTTATTAAAGAATCGATAATAAAATTTGATGTTCCTAGAGAATACGAGAATTAAATTCTCTTTAATTTACCGAAATCGATGGACTCCACAGCATCAGCATCCAACTAACAGAGCTGGGAAAAATTGTGAGCAATATCAAAACTTTTCTGCCCACGATATCAAGTAGAAATATCGAAAGAAAACATCCACATGCCATTCCAAGTGTAAAGACACAAACTGTCCAACAGGCTTCGTTCGCAGTGATCTTGAAGGAGAAGTCATGATCCAGTAATCGAGGTGTTATCGGCGACGTCCATCCCAGAAACATTCCCGCGTTCAATTCGGCCAAGCATACTGTCTTAGCGCAACAAGCATTGATATCGTAAATCAAAGAATACAACTAGACTATTTTAATTACAAGATTTCTCTTACCCGAGAGAAATGTCAGGCAAAACTTTAAGTTAGGCATGTTCACAATTTTCGCGTGACGTCTACTGAACGTTTTCTGCAGGAGGAAGTAAAATTGCGTTTCACAACAAGCATAATAGCAGCGATAAAAGTTTTTAGTGAGCTTACCTTTCACAGTCATTTCAATATGTAAACGAGGCGCGATAGCCTTCGTTCCAGTGTATACTAATTACTGCAACTCGGATAACGTATGATTAATGTTTGTTTTATAAATAACTTGTGAAAACAATACACATACGTATTCCTAATATTTGTTTAATTCAGAAACAACAGGACCGCGTGTGTAATAAGTAATATTTACCGCCGGTGACACGAGTATTCATTCATGGAGTCGAGCTTTTAAAAATGCTATAAACAGACAGCAATAACGCTTAATAATTAATGGGATAAATACAGGTGGAATAATAAGTAAACGAATATCTCTGATATAATTATCCTTTACACGCACAAGCCAATGCTGCGCGCCACAGTAATTTGTAATAGTAGCATGTATTTATATCGCAATTTGCAATACCTGCAGGTAACGTCGTTGATTACTTGGATGTTAATTAGTACGAGATACAAGCAACCAAAGGATAACCCGATTCCCACGTTGAACATTAATCTCATTATGTACAGTTGGTTCGGGAAAATTTCGAGTAGCATTTTATCAAGCGTCCATTACTCGCTATATTACTCGATGTTTGTACATTATTCATATATCAATGAATAATTAAAAAGATCGTGAGTGAATGTTTGATATTTAGAACATTAGACAAAAGCTTCAATTTGTACGCATTGCTTGGTATGAAAGTAATGCAATAACAATACATTTCAATATTTTATTGTTGCTTAATATTTAATATAGGAAATACGTTGAGACTTACGCGATTACGCGTAAGGCACATGTCTTTGTTCGCCGATCACTAACAGGAAATTGTAATCACTGTCAGTATCATAAGCTTATTAGCGACAGTAGTAATGGACTGTATACGTCAGACAGTACTCAAGGGAATCCAATATTCGAACTGATTGCAGAAACTGGATAATAATATTAAATAAAAGCATATATAAACTCCTCTCGATTTATTCCGTTTAAATCAACAAATTACAATTATTTAAATATCTTAAATAATTCCTATTTTCATTTAATCGCAAAATAGGTGCATTTACATAGAACGCAATTTTCCATTAATGAACCATGAAAGTTCTATTTGTGGTAGACAACATCCGTGAAAATTTATTCTGGATTAAAATGGATACTCTGAAATCCGTGGGTGTACGTTAAAATTTAATTGTAAGGTAACACGGCGGCAAAGCAACTTGTGCTGGTCGTGTGTCGTGTATACAAGATGCGTTTCAGGGTTACCCACTTTGCTAACAAAAAGACGAGCATAAAAGCCTTTCTCTTTGTACTGCGACGAAGAATTTTAAGACACTCACTAAATAAATAAATGAACATTATTTAAGGATGTATAGGCTATATA